ATCATCAGCTGGCAGCTGGAAGTTTGCTGGCAGCTGGAAGTTTGCTGGGGCCCCTTTGGCTGTGGCTCTCAACATGTTAAAAAGACATAGATTCCTTAAAACATTAGTTTACCCATAACATTGTGTTTTATTAAGTTCTGTTTCTTGTTTCTAGAGCAAATAATCTTAAAGAAATTAAACAGCCGGTTAAACAAGAACTGTTATTCTAGAGAATGGTGCTATGTTAATTCTTTAAAAGCTAAATTTAGTTAATTTAAAAACATCAATGTATCAATCTGGTGTTCTAAAGTTGTATGGTAATTTTAGGTGTAAAAGAAAAACAGATTGGAGATTTGTCTGTATCATTTGATGTTCTATGGCTGGACCTGCTGTCGATGGGGTATGTGGGGTTTTGTGTTGCTTTTTGCACTGAAGTATGATTCTTTAATTGTAAGAATGAAGGACCATTCTGTACGCTTTGCCTGGTTGTGGCCAGACTCCTCGTTGTCTCCCTCATGGCATTTGTTGTGAGGATGGGAACTGGACGTGCTGGCCTCAGTGCACCATGTTGTCAGCACTACCTCCAATCTCAATTCCTTGGCTGTGGTAGTCCTCCAAATCTGCTTACTGCCCGAGAAGGAGGACTAGGTCTGTTCCTACAGGAGGAGTGCTGTTTCTATTGGGCTCCTCCAGTTTCTCAAGGACCGAGCCAGAACTGTTCAACTGTTGGTGGTCGGGCAGCAATATGCCATCTTACAAGATACTGACTGTGAACCCTATGAAGTTGGCCAGGCCCCTACTGGGATGTGCAGATGTAAGCCGGGAGCAGAGCCATCTCCCTTCCTCGAGGCTTCCCATTAGGCCTGCAGGCCCTGCAGGTAGGATTGCCCCAAGAGCTAGAGTGGTAGTCAATGACGGGTAAGATCCCCAGAGGGGAACAACCTAAGACAGGCACACTCTCGAGTAAGGCAAACACCTGCTAATAGAACAAAAAGGGGGAGATGTAGGGTGTGGCTGCCTGCTTCCTGGTCTTGAGGCTGCACATGTGACTGGGACAGCTCCTGGGGATCAGCCAGGAGGCGGTGCTGTGGGTGGTGACGGAAAAGGCGGACCACCTCCAGGATAGGTCCAGGACTCTTCCGCCCTCATGGACAGCTCATGCCTTCCCTTACAGACTATGAGATGGGTGTACATGTGAACTTGCTCCATTGCTCTGACCTTTATTCTGATTGGCTGCTGTGCAGTATATAAGCTGTGTGTACTTCCTCATTAAATGAGCTCCTGCTTTGACTGTTCTCCCTGGCATGTCAGATTGTCCTCCCAAGAGGGAGGGCTGGGTGTGGGCGGCCAGTCGACCTTTACCTCTCTTGGCTCGTCTTGGTCGAGGCATGCTTTTCCCGCTTCTTCTGCTGGTCAGAAGGAGACTGGGTCTAAAAACCCCGACACACTCTAGCCCTGTTTTATTTTATTTAGAGGTAGGATCTTGTTAAGTTGCTTAGGACCTCACTAAGTTGCAGAGGCTGGCTTTGAACTTGCAATCTTCCTGCCTCAGCCAACCAACCTGCCAGGATTACAGGCATTCACCACCACATGTGGTTCAGATCTTTTTATTCATCTTCTTGTCTGTAATTCATAATTTCTTGTTTTCTCCTTCCTTGTAGCAGAGAGATGTTTTCTCAGAGAAGATACAGAAGACAAGCATCTTTCACTAAGGCAACTTTCCAGAAGTGACTGAGGTAGGCTTCACTTTTGGGGGACTTAGATTAATTGCCAGTTAATTTTTCAAATATGTGTGAATTGTAATCTGTATATAGAGAGAGGTGGGATAACTGGGTCAAATGTGGTTGCATTCAAAGTTTTTTGTTGATTTAATGGGTCTCTCAATGACAGAGCCACCCTCTGATTGCACATGCTGTGGTTTGCCTAAGTGTCCTCCAAAGGCATTGAACATGTGCTACTGGGAAATGGTGGAACTTTGAGACATGGGACCTAGTGGGAAGCTCTAAGATTATTGATGGAGGCCAGTAGGAGAGTGAGGTTATGGTATAAGGGGGGCAATTTCCATTTACAAGTGTACAGATTCTGCTTGTTCATTCCCAACATGTTCAAGTGAAAAGCCTCATGATGACTTTGTCCTTTGTACATTTTTCTTCCTGTTTTACTCAGCTTTTTGGCCACTGTGACTAAAAGACCTAACAAGGACAATTTTAAGGGAGGAAAAGTTTATTTGGGGGGCTCATGGTTTCAGAGGTCTCAGTCCATAGACAGCAGGCTCCATTCCTTGGAGCTCCAGATGAGGCCGAACATCATGGTGGAAAAGTGTGGAAGAGGGAAGCTGCTCACATGATAATCAGAAAGTAGAGAGAGGGACCCACTTTCCAGATTCAAAATATATACTCCAAAGGCATGCTCCAAGGGACCCACCTCCTCCAGCCACACCCTATCACTAAGTTTATCCGATCAGGGGAATAATTCACTGATTGGGTTAAGAGTCTCCCAACCCAATCATTTCTCCTCTAAACCTCCTTGCATTATCTTACACATGAGCTTTTGGGGGACACCTCACATCCAAACCATAACATCCCACCCCTAGTTCCCACAAGCTTATGCTTATTTCACAATGCAAAACAATTTAGTCTATTTCTAAGAGTCCCCAAGAAGTCAACAGTTCCAAGATTGCCCAAAAGTTTAAGTACAAGGTCTTCTCTGGTACTTAGGGCAAATACACCATGAGCTCCTGTAAAAATCAAGTAATTTACCAGCATCCAAAATATAAAGGTACAGAGAAAACATTTCCATTCACAAAAATAGGGGCATAGAAAGAGAAGGGATAGGACCAAAGAAAGACCAAAATCCAGCTGGGAAAACAAGTCCTGTAGCTCCATGTCCAGCATCTTGGGCAAGTGGCTTGTGTAGATATGCCCCTGTGGCCTTGTTGGTTGCAGCCTAAGTGGCCTTTCTGTTGGCTTGTCTCTGCTTGATTGCTGTAGCTTTCCTCAATGGACATTGCAAAGTCCTGGCATTTCTAAATTTCCAGGATCTCCACTGCAGCTTTGGTTTCCTCCTCACATCTCTGCACATCACCCTCTCAGGCACAGCCTGCAGGGACTCCCACCCTGTTTCACTTTGCCTGGCCTCCCAGACTTTCTTTTGAAATCTTGGTGGAAGCCCCCATGACCCCCTAACTCCAGCAGCCTGCAATCCTGCAGAACCAGTCCCACACTGTTGACACCATTTGGAGGAGTAGCCAAGTTTCCAGGAACCCTTCCTCTAGCAGCCTCTGAATGCCTAGGTGACTAAGTTGTAAGGAAAATAATAAGGGAGTCACAGAGACAAGATGCAGAGGCAGGAAGGATGGCAGAATGGCTGCAAGGCCAAGCTGCCAAGCTTTATTTATATCAATAGGTTATATGAGGTCATTAGTACCATAACTACATTATTGTTTAGAGTATCAGTAAGGTTGCTCATTCTGCAGTTACATTCACAGTTACAATATGCAATGTCAAGAGCTTTGTGCAGCCCTTAAGAAAATCCATTGTATTAAGTTACTGTGAGGTGGACAGATTTAGGTTCAGTGAAACATTGTGGTTTTATAACAAGAGAGTCTATATTCCCAGGAGCTGTGTGCCTGAGATGAAGGTTGAAGCTGATAAGACTCTAACACAGAGCTTCCTTGTGAAAGACATGGCTACAGTAGCCAGGCATCCTGTGTCTTTACACAGAAGTTTCCCAGAAGCCAGGCACTCTGCATGTTTGCACAGAAACTTCCTAGCCACCAAGAATGCCACAATCATAAAGTTTGTCAGAGACCCCAATCCTAAACACAGAACCCCTACCCTACACTAAGCATGTTGAATAAACAGTGGGCCCCTTTGTGCAAGAAGTGTGCCCCACTGGTCTCTTCTCAAGAGAATTTTTATTTTTATTCCCTTGATCCTGAGATGGGTATGGTCTCAAGCCATCTTTCTTATGGTCTCTGGGGAAAGCCTTTAGCATTTTTTTAGTGGTGGTAATGTCTTGAACAAGTGCAACTTCCTTAGCCCCAGTTTTATTCCTGCTCTTCAAAGACAAGCTTTTTCAAATATTTCTTTGCAGCTTTTGGCTCCTGAATATTATAATGAACTTGGCTAAAAGTCATCAGCAATATCCATGCTTCTGCCTGAATGCTATGCTACCTAGACATTTCTTCTGCCAGATTAAGAAGTACATTGCTTTTAAAATCAGCCTTACAGAAAGTCTCCAGACATGGGCAAAATGCAGCAGCTTCTCAGCAGAACTAATGGCCTCTGGTTCAATCACCAATAGTGTCCTACTTTTCCTCTAAACCCTCTTGAATCCTGTCTTCACTGTCCATGGTCCTATTTGTATTCTGGTCTTCTGAGTTCCCACCAGAATTGGCCATAAAGATCCACTTACAACAATCTAAAGCATTTTCAACTTGCATTGCTACACATCTCAAAATTCCTCCCACCAATTCCAAAAAGCTCCCAAAGTTTCTGAACCATATACATGGTCAGATTAGTCATAGCAATGAACCCACTCTTGTTATAAATATCTCTTTTAGTCAGCTTTTTCACTGCTGTAACATAACGCTTCCCTCCTTGTTGACTTTATTACATTGAAATTATTCCATGAGCCAGGTGCAGTTGTGCACACCCATATCCCAGGGAGTCAGGAGGATGAGGCAGGAGGATCACAGGTTCAAGGCTAGCCTTAGTAACTTAGATCCTGTCTCAAAGTAAAATAAAAATCAAAAGAACTAGGGATATACTCAGTGGTAAAGTGTCCTTGTGTTCAGTCCAGTAACAAAACAAGGAAAGAGAAGGAGGAGGGGAGGCAAAGAGAGAGAGAGATGAAGGGGGACAGGGAGAGAAAATTATTCAATGAGAATGCTTCTCATGTGCTGCAGTTAGCCACCTATGAGTCCCAAGAAATACAGCTGCCCACAACTCCTTTTTCTACTTTTACTCTGCTGTCATGACCAAATGTCAGTCTTCTGAGTGACTTTGGCCCTCTTGGTATGTTGGGCCTCCTTTCTTAGGATCTGTGAGTGTAATCAATACTTTCATTTCATGTAACCCTGAGTGTAATTTCCATGGTTCTGTTGGAACAGGGATCTTACTCTCATCTACATCAGAGGGTTCTTCTGTCTGTGCCTTTTCTTAGCCATTGCTCCTTTGTCTTTTGTCACTCCATTTTAATTTACCTCCCTCACTACATATTAATTAGTTATCCCAGGGAGAAAGAGAGGGTACTCTTAGTTCTTCATATGTGCCTACATTGTCTTTTGTTGTTAAATATTTTTGGAATTTTATTGTTGAAATAATGTATTTTTCAGAATCTAACTTATACAGAAAAGATTTTCCAGGATGGATGACACTTGTTTATGCAAACTTAGAGATGTTGTCCAAGAGAGATCCCAAGTCTTCCACTATTTGGTACTGAAAAGAGAATTTCTGGTGGCTGTAAACTGACTGTAAGAGTAACAGAACCCCATAACTGGAACATTGTCACCTTTGTTTAAATGTGACACTTTTTTGTGGAAGTAGTGATCAGAGCAAGCACTTGAAAAGATACTAAGTGGAACTCTATTTTTTTTAAATTATGCATTGTAGTTATACATAGTAGTTGGGTTCATTTTGATAAACTTATATACACATTTTATTTATTTATTTCAATCTCTGATAGTCCCCTTTCTCCCCTCCCCTTCTCCATGCTTCTATTCTCCTTTCTCTACTTTACTGGTCTTCCTTTCATTTGTTTACTTATTTATTTTTGATTACTGTGATGTAGGTATACATAAAGGTAGAATTCACTGTGACATACATATACACGCACATAGCAGTGATTTTGTTAAATTCCATTTCACATTTCCTCCCTTTTCCTGTCCCCCCTCCCTCTCATCTCTTTCTTCTACTCCACTGATCTTCTCCATATATTTATAACATCAAACATCCACCCCCTCTACTTTCCATCATTTTGGTCCAGCTTCCACATAGGAGAGAAAATATTTGATCCTTGACTTTTTGAGTCTGACTCATTTCACTTAGCATGAATCTCTCCAGTTCCACCCATAGTTTTGGCAAATTCCATAGTTTTATTTGTCTTCATAGATGAGTAAAACTCCATTATGTACATATACCACATTGTCTTTATTCATCTGTTGATGGCCATCTGAGTAGGTTCAATAACTTGGCTATTGTGACTTGTGCTGCTACAAACATTGATTTGCCTGTATCACTATATCCTGCTGATCTTATTTCTTTCAAATAAACACCAAAGGAGTGGACTAGCTGTGTCATATGGTGGTTCCATTTCTAGTCTATGGTGTTTGTGTAATCTGCAGTCCCACCAACATTGTATGAGTGAACATTTCCCCCTCTATGCTCAGCAGTTATTATTATTTGTATTCTTGATAATTGCCATTCTGACTGGAATGAGATGGAATCTTAGTGTACTTTTGGTTTGCATTTCCATGATTTCTAAAGATGTTGAACATTTTTTTTCATATATTTGTGAGCCATTTGTATTTCCTCTTTTGAGAAATGTCTGCCCAGTTAATTTGACCTTTGGATTATTTCTTTGTTTTTGGTGTCAAGCTTTTTCAGTTCTTTATATGTTCTGGATATTAATTCCCTTTCAGAGAAGTGGCTGGAAAAAAATTGTTTCCCATTCTGTAGACTCTTCATGTTCTTGTTTCCTTTGTTGTGCAAAAGCTTTTTAATTTGATACCACCCCACTTTTTGATTCTTGGTTCCATTTATTGAGTTTTAGAGTCTTGTTAAGGCAGTTGGTGCCTGCACCAATATGATGCAATGTTGACCCCATGTTTCTTCTAGTAGTTGCAAAGTTTTTGGTCTGATTCCTAAGTCTACAATCCTCTGTGAGTTGACTTTTGTGCAGGGTGAGAGACAGGGATCTAGTTTGCAACTTCTA